AGTGGGATATTCTACTATTAACTTGATTAATACTCCGCTCTTAATTAAGAAACAATAACCTTGAGCTGAAGGAGATAATTGGCTCAGTTAACATTACTAAGGGTGAGGAGGAAAGGGCGTAATTATACACAGACTTCAATAAGTTATAGCTGTTTTGCTGCAGAGATGGCTTTAGTGTTGAATGCTTATTAGAAGATTGTGAATGGGAAGAAGCAGCCCATGTGACCAACCTAAATAAATTACTGTCATTAAGAAGATTGATAGCCCAATTAATAGCAGGGGTATGCTGTTTGGAGTGCCCGTGTACCATGGTGTGTACCACTGTGCATCATAAATATGAGACTAAATAGCTGTTTAGTTCATTCCTCTGCTTTTCCTCTAATTTAGCTCCGAGGCTCCCCTTTTGTGGCTGAAATTGAATGTTTTGACAACCTGCAGTACTGTGCAAAAATCTTGAGCCACTCGTCATATATTACTTAAATGTAATATATGAGGCAAAAAGTAAAGTATACACAGTTCTGACGAGCTTGAAAGTCAATGTTTGGTGTGACCAAACACAGCATGAACTCTCATAGGCGAGCTAGTCTTCAGAAATCTTTCTTCAGGTTACGTTTTTCTATCCAGGGATGTTTTTACTGTTTGTGTGTGTTTCATGCTGACAGTCTTTCCTGATGGTATCACATCTAGTACAGTAATTTTTAGCATTGATAATTTCATAAATTTAGGTAAAAGTGATCGGGATAGATAGATAGAAGAAGCATTCAGGTCAGTAAATTAGAATCTTTCTTTACAGAGTTCTAAATAGATTTTTCTATTGATGATACAGTTATTGAATTGACCCAGACATTGTATGACAACCTCACACATGGATGTATAAATCATCAGCTTACACCTGTGGCTGTACTGCAAAAGCATGTTCAAGTCTGTTTTCATTAACCCACTTTATTAAGAAACTTTTCTAATTAATTCATAGCATTTCACATCTAAGCCCTGTGACACATATTATATCTAACACAAACTATAACGTGCTGTATTTATTTAGTTTTGCTTTGTTTACCTGTGACAAGGTATACCTTTGGTGAGCCAACTCGGGCTTTTTGAGTCTAACAGTAAGCACAGCTGTGCCTGCATCAGATCGCAAAAAACGGCTCACAAGAAGGAGAAACTATTATCCTAAATAAATCTGAGGATTTTCAAAATATAGTCCAGGTTAAAACTGTAAGACGATAGGTTTATCAGCTTTGCTCTGGCATTAAGACACAGGGAGATCTGACTGGGATTAAAGTGTGTTTTGTTTTTTTTTAAATTTCAGCCTTATTCTCTAAACTGCAGCTCCTGGTGTTAAACAGCCTTGAAAGTAAGAAAAGTGAATCTAAAGTTGCCTTGCAAACCTCAGATTGTGCTTTTTAGTACAAACCACAGTGAAGTTTTTGAACTTTGACCTCTCAGGCACCTCCAGGCTCAGCAGCCAGCATCTCCAACCATCAGGCAGCAAGACGGAAGACGCCAGGCGCCGCCCAGCTCAGCAAGGCTCCGTAGACCTGTCCAGACTGGAGCACCAGCAGAGATCGGAGGCTCTGGAGCAGCAGCAGCAGATGAAGATCCTGGAGTGGGAGAATAGGATGAAGGTGCTGGCGTGGGAGCAGGAGCTGGTGAGGGAGAAGAGGAGAGCAGCCCGGCAGAAGGAGAAAGCCTTCAGGATGAAGAAGGCCTACTACAAGGCCAAGCTAAAGAGGATGGGCGAGGACGTGCCGCCATCTTCCTCCAGTAGTGGCGACGAAGCGGAGAAAACGTCTGACCCGACTGGCTGATACGCTCAAATGTTTCTATTTTTCCGAGTGTCATTCTTGTATTGTTTTGTGTATACGCCATGACACTACTTTTTGTTTTGTTTTTTTTACACATTGCTGCTGAAGAGTTTCACATTGAGCAACAATTGTTGTAATCATGGCAGCCAATCCCTCTGCAATGTGAGTTCCATCTTAATAGAGAAACATTTTAAGCAGTTTTTGAACGAATCTTTAAAAACTACACAACAGTACGGATAACTGTAAGTCACTTTATACTCCTTGTTGAAATGGTTTGTAATGACAACCCTGTTTTATGTGTCATCTATCACAATCTAGCCCCGGATTGAAAAAATCAATTTTCATTGATCGTCTTAACGCTGTATTTTTTATTTTTATTTTTTTAAAGGTCAATGCTCGTTTGAGGTTATTTTAAAAGAAGAATGTACGCAGGTGACATGCACATGGGACGAAATGACATTCCTGAAAGGACAATCTTTTAACAGACTTTTGTAGTGCATGCTTTAACTTTGTTTTTGATATGTAAGTAAACAAATACGTAAGTGAATAAATAAGTGGGGGAAACAGGTACCACACTGATGTATGTGCACACCTGTGATTGTTGTGCGTCTTCTTCTGAAAATGAGAGGTCTGTAATATTGAGTTGTAAGACAGCATATAGAGGAAAGTATTGGGTCACACCACTTACCTACAAATACACTGGAGTACACGGACAGAAGGTCAGGTTGCCTTGTGTCCACATTCTTTTGGCCATTTTTAAAGTTCTGTGCTGGGACTGTGGTGGTAGGAGGGGTTTAAAAAAAAAAACTCTTTAAGAGTATCTGCAGCAAAATAATTAGGCGCATTCAGCGATCGTCAAAAACACCAAAAGAGGCCATTATCTTTTTGATGAGTGCTGTTAAGGCCCCCGGTACAGTTCAAACACTTGGAGAATAGATGAAAAATGCAACGCTTTGAAAAATGGCTGCTCTCCCTCTGCTTTATCCCAGCTGACACTCAGGAGAGAGTGGTATTGATCTTCACAGCCAACTTTTGGCAGGAAGCATATTTCCAAAAAAAAATGTCCGTTTTCCCCCCTTCGGATCCCAACGTTTTAGATCAAATATTTTTAGCTTTACTACTGCACATCAGTGCCTAATGAACCTGGCTGTGACCAAGCGGTAACATTAATAATCTAATAAGAGCACTGATGAGTTTTTGCTTCAGCCCTGCATAGGTTAAAATCTTAAGATTTATGTATGCGCCGCTGATCCCCGCCGTCTCTTGAGCTGAACGTCTCCGCCCTCCTCTGATGTCTCTGAATGTGACAGAATACTTTGAGAGTCAACGCAAGTCAGGTAGAGGAGCCTTCTAGAGAAAAAACGTGTCCCCCTGTCACAGGATCTTTCCTCCGCTCACTTTTTCTACACCTGAAAATGTCTGTTGGCATGAATATGAAACAGCAAACCTCTTTGTGTCTCCCAGACCAGAATAATCAGAAAGAACACAGAGCCTTGTAGGAATAAGTCATTTTTTTTCTTTTTTAATGTCCAACATTTCTCTTGTTTCCGCGGTAACAGGGGAACAGCTGTTTCCATCCAGACGGCAAGATAGAAGGCATCCAATAATGAACACACAAGCTAACAAATACAACCGCCCATCATCTCTCCACCTCTCTATGTTCCTCTCTTTTTGTCTCTAATCATCTTTTGTTGTTGTTGTTGGTTTTTGCTTGTTTGTTTGTATGCCCTCGCTTCTGTGGCTCGGATTGGTCCGAACTACTGTTAAACCTGTAGTTAAGAGTCCTCTGTTATTTCAGCACATTAATTGGATAGATTAACAGTTAAGATTAGACAACAGATCCAGTTTGAATACTGACTAAACTCTTCCGATTTGAATTCCAGGTGTAAGTTCGGATTCTTTTCTTGCCTTTCATCTGTGGATTTGTAGCCGTGAGAGTCAGATGACAGGAAATGTTACATATGACAACAAGAACATTTGCACACACACACACACACACGCTTCCTCAACATCCTCTCATTCAGATGGCGAAAATAAATAACCAATACAGTGTCAATAAATTATCAATAAATAAAGTAAATCTCATGTCTTTCAAAGTTGAAGATCAGCTGAAGAAAAATATAGATGGAGAAGAAAATAGGATTTGTCAGGCTAACAGACCGGTGGGTGGTGTTGCGCTGCACTCGGGACTTTTTTGGCAATAATACTGTCGCAAATAGGTTGTGCTTGTCACGTCTCAGGGACACGGGACCGGCAGAGCAGCGGTCAGAGCAGGCAGATATGCACTTATTTGTAAGGTGTGTGTTTATTTCCACTTCGAGCGTTTCCATCCACGTGTCTTTTTTTTCTCTGTCTCCCTGTGATGAGTAACATCCACGCCTTCCTCCCTGCGGCTACATTTCTGCAGTCATGTTTCCTGACCCAATTTGTTCTTCTTGCAACCTTGCCTGATTTGGTATCTTTTAAAAAAAATCTTTCCCGTTATGCAATATCTTAGCCTTATTTTTTTATTTATTACTTTTTGCATTGGCTTTTGGCTGTTTTCTGCTCAAAGACACAGACAACACATGTTGGCAACACAGAACTCCCATTTTCCTTCAGTTTTTACAACCCACTGTAGTTTTCTATAGAAAAAAGCCTCCCTGTCCCCGTCTCCACTCCTGAAAACGCCCATGTGTTGTTACCTTAAGGGCTGAACTCTGGGCTTCCTCCGACAGCTGCGAGAAAGATGCAGCTGCTGATGGAAAGACCTGCATCTCGAAACCACTTAGAGGCTTTTAGCGCTGACACAGCTGACATCTCCTCACCCCTCTGCAATCTGCCGCAGAAGACGGATCTTGAAAGATAACTCGTTTTTTGTGAAACCATCTAAATGAGAATCTAAATAAATAAAAATCAATTTTCATGTTTTTTTTGTGGGCTCGTGTTGGATTGTTTCTGAAGCATGAGCTTCTTTTCTGTTGAATTTCTCAAATATAAAGGAGCAATTTAAATATTCAGATTGGCACCATGCTGTGAACATACCACAGGGCTGCTTTCATGTCTTCGAACAAATATCTGAGTGTGTTACGATGAGTCTTATCCGCTCCCTTCCCACATGAAAATCCGCTTGCTTATGTACTACGCGGGTAAAATAAAATGCCAAACAGTTATGCGGGTTATGTAGTAGCGCTGATCGCGGCCTCGTGAAGAGAAACAGCTTTTCATTTGAGACTTCTTACTGAAAAAGATCATGATTTAACAAAACCGAGCTACAACGCGCCCTGCACAAATCATTTCCATCAGAGGAAACAGAAGAATATCAGGGTTTCATACAGATTTTAAGTCCCTTTGGTTTAGTTTTGCGGAGAAGCTTTTACGAATGGTCTTGAGGTTCGGCTGCTCCTGTGTCGTCCCTCGAGGCAGGCATCAAAGTGCACAAAACTTTGAGGGGATTTAAACGGTTGTTACGCGATACATCCTCATCCAGAGAGGCAGACAGAGATATCAACCTTCACCCACCAGGTCTCCAGAACGCTACAGATATGGTCTTGTAATATCAGCCGTCTGATATGGTCTGGTTCAGATAGCACCAGGCATGAAGATACACAGATAGATGACAAGGTCACATTCATATACAGCACAGAGCTGATGCATTGACACTTGTGACTGAGCTTTTTAACTGTTGAGCCGCCAACTTTAAACCTTCAGTCTTTTTCTCTGCACAATCATCTCGCTCCATCAAATCTCTTAAAATAACTCCTCCTTCTATTTACAATCACTTCCTCCTCCTGCTTCGATATTTTCCCTCCAACCACATCTCGCGGTTTTGATAATCTCATTCGATTCTATTGCCAGACCCCTGTCGCTATACATAAAGTTGATGCGTGTGAGGAAATGTTTCTAGGGAAAACCTTTTTTAGGGAGAAATTTGGTTTTTTTTTTTCTTTTTGTGGGGAGGGGGATCCCCCCCCCCTCAGCAACGACCAAGACTGCACTCACACCAACCTCACTCACAACCTCACATGAGCACAGTCATTTAAAAAAAAAAAAAAGAAACATCACAAGAGATTTCTTCTTCATCTCCAATGAAAAAGATACAAAATGTATAAAAATGTTATTTACAGTTTCTTTTTTTTTTTTCATTTTGACGGATCTCGTTTGTTTGAAATCTGAGGAGTTTGTGTTTTTGCCTTTAAGAGTTTGTAGGTAGTAGAGGTGGTTGACTCATCGTCCACAGAAACATCGTCGTTCGCCGTAGGCGGTGACACTCGAAAACTCTTTACACAGTACACGCCGCCCACTGACTTTCTCTTGAATCTGTGTTATCATTGGATGTTTTGTCCGTCTTTGTGTCTCTGCGTTTCCTCTGTCTCGGTTTTGTTTCCCTGTCCTCGAATGTTCCAGGTTGTCCCGGTGCTTCAGGTCCATCCGCGACCTTTGAACATGTCCAATGTGACCCCAGCACTGTAGCAATGCATTAAGGGATGCGGAGGTTGTCATCAAGACTGTCCCTCACTTCTGTTGGCTCTAAGGTGAAGGAAAGAAAAATGAGTCATCACTACGTCTGTACAGCATTTCACTAATTGTAAATTCAAGTTCACAGTGAAACTACAGAAGTAAAATGGAAATGAGCTTTGCAGGCAAAAGGACAAAGAAAAAGAGAGGGAGAGAAGAGGGAGATGGAAAACAGAAGAAAATAGACTGAGACACATGGGAAGAGATGATAAAGAAGCTGGAACGCAGGAAGCCTGCTGAAAGGGTTGGGGAAGGCTGAGATAAACAAACTAGAACAGCACAAGTCAAAAGTCCAAGATGACAGATGCGTCATCTGGACTTTTGACTTTGACTTTGACTTTTGACGCTGGAGAAAAGAGGAAGAGAAGAAGATGCATGTGAGAAAAGGACAGGAGGAGGGTGGGTTGAGGGTGGATTTTCCACTCAGAAAAACTTACTCCGAGTCAGGGGAGACTTCAGATATGCTATGGGAGGTGGCAGACTGGGACGGGGATGGGGAGGGTCCGTGGACGGAGCCGTTTGGACCAGTGTTTGGGGCAGCAGGGGGAGGAGTGAGGACAGAGGAATTGAAGGATGCTAAAATGGAGGAAAGAATATCCAGGTGTTCACTGGACGGTTGTCGACCCAAGGGGTTTGGATTTGAACCTGCGACCTGGGGGGCGACCTGACCAGGAAACCTACATGAAGCTGAGTCCAGTCGTCCTCTGGCGTGAGCTGAAGGAGGTAGGTGCTCCTGCTGAGGCTCCTCAGATATCGGGGGAGGAGGAGAAGAGGAGGGCGGCTGGTCAGGGTGTGAAGGCTGGCGGGGTGGCAGAGTGCGGAGCCACTCCCGACACGGCTGGGCCTGGGCTCCCATTCCATTGGTGTCAAGTTGCTCCCTTGATCTACTGCTCACGAGAGCTTCTTCGAGGTGCTCCCGGGATGAGGCCTGTCGCCGAGTCAGCGAGCTCAGCTGCAACCTTGATCCGCCGAGGTATCCCTCAATCCCGGCACTGACAGCCCCTCCGTTTCCACTCACATCCTCCCTCGATCCGTGGAAGCCAGTAGCATGGTGGTTGTCTAGTCTGTCCCTGGATCCTGTCAAGTTCTCCCTGGATAATGAGACTCGCTGGTGATCCAGGGTCCCTAACATTGACCCCTGCCCCAGCCCCAGCTCTCTCCTCCTGGGTAAGAGATCCAGGTTGTCCCTGGAGCCTCGGCAGTCCAACCGGTCTCTTGATCCTCCGACCGTCTGCCTCCCGAGTGGATCCCTGGACAGCTGCCTCCGTGCAAGCGAGTCCAGGTGCTCCCTAGAGGAGTAGCGGGAAGCTGGCTGGGAGAGAGAGCCGGAGCCTCCAGTGGCACCAGCTGTGGCAGAGTACATACGACCGTAGGAGGCAGCAGGAACACCTCGGTGGCCAAGAGTAGAGGTTCGGTACCAGTTGAGCTCACTGGGGACCCGGCCCATACTGGAAAGACCCTGGAGTGCGGGAGGACAGCCAAGACGGTTCTTGAGGATTCCTGGGACAAAGAAAATGAAACCACAAGAAAAAAAGAGGAAGGCGTTAGTGGTAGAAATGGAGAAGAAGGAGAAACCTGAAGAAGAGATTAGATTCCATTAGGTTACTGGATGAATCATCCATCTATCACAATAACTGGCTTAAAATAATCAAATCAGGAAACCTGAGGATACAAAGAGAGCTTTCAGAGAAATACAAGCTGTCTTAGCCTCGTCTTCTTAAGTAAATCTGCACATAACAGGTGCTCACGAGCGGTCATTTTCAAAAAATACTGGGTTGATGATTAGATCAACTGTCAGTCTGTCGTGACACCTAAAACCTGTCGTAGCTGTGACCTTATTGGCTGCTAATCCATCATGGGACGCTGGACTGTTCCAATTCAACCATGGTTTGGCAACAACATAGTAAGCCTAGTAAAAATGTTTTTTCCAGTGACTGTGATTACATGAAGCTTAAGACTTTTGAGAGAATCCAACTGCCTCACAATGTAAGGACAGGCATTTACATTGTAAAAGTCTCACGATGAGAGAAGAAGACGAAGAAAAGCGGAAGAAATCAAATGATGAAGAGAAGCCATTTAGAAAGAGGCAGAAAATGAGTCACACAACTATCACATTTACCAAAAAGCAGGACTTCTTACATTAAACCACTTCTGCATGCCTACGCGGGTGTTCATTTGTCGGTATATGACTGGGTATATGGCTATATTCATTCCCTGAAATGTCACTCATGCTTTCAGGCTACAACCTTTTCTTTTTCTTACTTGCATCTGATTGGGCCTTTATTTCTACATGTGCACATGCCAGTTATATACTTTATGAGTGCTGAGTATGCATATTATATTTCATACAGTCAATAGACACTTTGTTAGGTACACTTGTTCGGCAGCTTGTCAACACAAATATCTAACGAGCCAATCAAATGGCAAGAACTCCCGTGCATTCAGGCATGTAGACATGGTCCAAACGACCTGCTAAAGTTCAAACTGAGAATCAGAATGAGGAAAGTGACTCTGAACATGGTTGTTCATGGTGTTCGTTGTTCTAAGTATTTCAGAAGCTGCTGATCTATTAGGATTTACCCCACACGACCATCACTATGGTTTACAGAGAATGCCCTGTCGATGTCAGCAGACAGAGGAGACTGGTCAAACTGCTTCGAGTTGACAGGAATGCAACAATGACTATGTTATGTTAGGATACAAAACATCTGTATGTAATACACATGTGGTTATCAAAGTATAAATGACAACAAGAAAACTATAAGGTTGTACATTTACAGCACATTTACAGCACAGGAACAAAAAAGCTAAAGTAAGGTCCAAAATAAAATAAATATTTGAGTGAGTGACGGGTGTCTGGGTCACTCCGAAGATGAACTGAGATAATCAACCCATATATGAGACAAACTGCACAAACAGCAGATAAATTCTCTGTTATTGAACTTTGGTTTAAATTATGCTTTGCTGGTTCAGCTCATGCAGCTGACACCACGTCCATCTCCCTCTTGGCAAAATGTTCCATTCTGCATTACTCAGACAGGATATCTGGAGACACTCATTAGATAACAGGATGAAGAAGATCACAGATTTAGGATACTCAGACCAGGCACTGATATGCAGAGGCACAGTCTGTCTGACAATCCATGACTTTTACCAAGTAGATATTTATAATGATGCCAAAAAAAAGAAGAAATAAAAGTAGCAAGAGTCTGTTAACGTCACATTAAAGTTCCATCCATCCATTCGCTTCCGCTTATCCTTTTCAGGGTCGCGGGGGGTGCTGGAGCCTATCCCAGCTGTCATAGGGTGAGGGGCGGGGTACACCCTGGACAGGTCGACAGTCTGTAGCAGGGCTAACACACAGAGACAGACAACCATTCACACTCACATTCACACCTATGGGCAATTTAGACTAATCAATTAACCTATCCCCACAAACTGCATGTCTTTGGACGGTGGGAGGAAGCCGGATTACAAGTTTCATTGTTTCAGAATAGTCATCACTGTTTTCCATTTTGCTGTTTGTACCTTGCATGAGTCTGTATCTAAAGCTTTAATTTACATATAAAAGTAAAATAAGGCACAGCAAGAAGGTCCTGAGTTCAATTCCA